GCATTAGGTTTTGAAGTGCTAAAGTATGCAGAAGTGCTGAAAGCATTCTGCTCTGAGCAAATGCCCAACTTATAGTCATACAGAAATTAAAGGCTTATTTTCACTGCTTTGTTGATATAATATTACTACATTAATTAAAAATTAATAAGCCCTAAAGTTCAGTACTGTCTGTTATCACTGTCACCAAACTGGAACCATCGGCTGGTCATTCTGAGGTCCTGAAGAATACAATTAATTTGATTTTAAATCTTTTATATATATATATATATATTCTAGTGTCATATGCCTTTATTGTCTCACAGTGAGGATGGAGTCCCACTCAGGGATCCAAAGGGATTTATATTGATTTATATTTATACAAACTTCAGTCAGGATTTTACTCAGTTTAGTCCAATTGAGAATAAAATCGTATCCAGAACATATTCAGTTCCATCTGGCTGCTTTGCAGTATATTATTTATCTACACAGCATTAAATAACAGGAAGAGAAAAAATATTTTATTTGAGGAAATGTGGTTGACACAGTAGCATCAAATTTCTTGTATTTTCAACAACGGAAGAAAAACAAAGATAAATTCCATATTTAACTGTTTTTGTGAGTTTTTTTGGGGGGGCCAATAATTCAAAAATGGACAATAAAGATACTAAAGACAACATGGTGCAGAAAAGTATTCTGAATTTTCTCAAGCAGCTAAACCATATAGCACTAAGCAGTATTCCTCTAGTTATAATTCTGTCCTAAAGCAGTAAAACAACAGAAAGCATAGAGGAAGATGAGCTGCTAGAACTTATACGATGAAGTGTGTTATAAAAAAAAACTCCTCCTTTCATTGTCTTCTGATTCCTGTCCAGCTGGTGTTTACTATGCAGATCCGTTGAATAGTTCCCCTTTTATCTTTCAACCAGAATTAGCAGCCATAGCCTACTGTTATTTCTCTTCTTTACAGGAAACCTAAATTTAAGCATCGTTTTATTTCAAATTTCTTAAGTTTTTCGACTTGAAATAAACTGCAAGGTGCATGGTGAGGATTTGATTGTGCATCAGCACAAATGTAATTTTAACCAATTAGGTCTCTGACTGGACATCATCTTAATGTTGGTAACCCTGACTGTATGCATGTTTTAAGAGAGATCAAGATTCTAAATAATAAAGATTATAAATAATCCATCTTTAATTGTTAGTCTATTATGTAAGGAAAGTTTATTTATACGTGAAATTCAAAGTGTTATATATGTGAATAGAAAAAGAATATTAGTGGCAAAAATGTCACATTATATAAAATAAATGATAAAATTGAAGGAAATAAAAGGAAAGCTGGATTGAAAGCTTAAGTAATAATGTTTTGATAGCACAATCAAAGGCCACTCTAAGCAAATTTTGAATCTATATCTAAAGCAGCTCAGGGTTTCAGTACCTCTACAGTCTTCTGGAAGTTTATTCCAGATTATGGAGCATAAGAACTAAAGGTTTATCTACACTCGTGGTTCTGGTCCTGGGTCTGCAGAGGAGATCTGAGGAAGGAGACCTGAGAGGTCTGTGCGGTCGATACACCAACAACAAGTCTGTAAAGTATTTTAGTGCTAAGCTGTTCAGTGCTTTAAAAAAAAAACTGCTACAAATAAATTCCTATTTGCAGAAAAACTGTTGTGGAGTATCAATAACAATGCTTCACAAATCATTAAAGAAAGAAAATTCCTCTAATGCATCATTGAATTCACACATTATTTCTAGCATTATTTGCTATGGGGAGTATGACATAAATCTAACTAAATCCATATTTTTTACTTCAGCTGTTGTTTCCTGAAGATGTTTTCCTTTCCTGTCCAGTAGAGGGGGGCAATGTCCCCAGTGTATCACCTTTAGCACAACAACTACCGGTACACTTATGATGTAATTGTTTGGTCACATGAGCTGCTGCAGCAGCTGTCAGATATGATGAAAGCAGGAGAGATCACCCTGCACACAGGTTATGATGCCTAGCAAATGGATTTATGCCCTTTAACTTTTTTTTTTTTTAGGTTACACCTGCAAACTGTTATTTTCTGTAAAAGTTACACAACCGTCCATCTCAGGGATTTTTTTTTTAATACTTTACTGCAAAATAGCTTAAGATCAGTCCATTTGCATTTTGAAATGATATCTTTATAAGTCCTGCTGAGCTACTTTGACTAGACCACTTCAAAATAAAAATGCACAGACATAAAACATTTTATTCTAGCTCTTTCTGGATGTTTGGTGTTGTCTTTGCAGCCTCTAACAGATACGGTAACTCTTTTTTTAACTGCATCCAGCTCCTTATCCACTCTGATCAGTTCTCATGTCCCTATTGATGATATCATTACCACATTTTACTGTGTGTTCAGCGGTCTATGCAGTATTAGTACTCCTCCAATGAGGCTCCTAAATCATTCAGAGAGTGATGCTGTCAATGCTATTATTGAGAGGACACTCGTTTCTACTTTTTAAGTGTTTTAATGTCTCCTTTTAAAGTTCAGCAGATGAGTTGTGCTGGTTTGCTTATTAAAATATTGCTCGCCACACAGACAGATAGCCTATCAGCGATGAGATGAGGCTTCCTGTCAGCTGTGACTTAGCTGATTATTCGGTGGTTGGTTTCATTCGCCTTAGATTGTGCAAACGTCAACACATGTTGTTTCCTTTTTTGACTTTGTTGGCAGATGTGTGTTATTAAGATAGTGAACAGTGCTTTAAATGACAGCTTACACTTGGCCAAGTGCTCCACACAGACCAGATCTTTTACTCCGCATCTTATAAACTCACAGCTCTCCCTGTAGTGCCTCCATCTGTAGCTCTGTGGTCCCATCCCACATATCCCATCCATCACACACAGAAACAAAGACTAACACAGTTAGGGTGAGTCATCTATTCATCACAAACCCAATGTGATTAAAATAATTCTGACTTTAGGTTACTAAAGTTCATGGGCTACACAAATATGAAGCGTTTCCTTCTTTTACAACTTATGTTCCTCAATGGTGTACCGAAATAATAACAGCATGGAGATTGAGCTGGATGGCCTGATGAGGCTTTGTCTACGCTTATGTAAGCTTTGCTCATCTGTAGTAAAAAAGAAGCTAAATTATGATTCCCTTCTATGGACACATGGGAACATTTCAGATCCAAGCTTTGTTTTAAGCACTTCCTGGTTCTGCCTTCAAACCGTATAAATGGAAGACAAATGCAGAGATTAGTCAGGATGGATGGATGGATGGATGGATGGATGGATGGACCAATGGATGGATGGATGGATGGATGGATGGATGGATGGATGGATGGATGGATGGATGGCTTAATGGGTGGATAGATGGATGGACCAATTGATGGATGGATGGATGGACCAATGGATGGATGGATTGATGGATGACTGGATGGATGGATGGACCAATGGATGGACCAATGGATGGATGGTTGGACCAATGGATGGATGGATTGATGGATGGATGGATGGATGGATGGATGGACCAATGGATGGATGGATGGATGGATGGATGGATGGATGGATGGATGGATGGCTTAATGGGTGGATAGATGGATGGACCAATTGATGGATGGATG